TAAATTAACACTTTTAAACCCAAGCAAATCAATAAAAACTGCTCTGATAGTACAATCTTACGTATCTTTTTAAATGGAACAGTCTAGCAAACTCAAAGACTTAAATTTATATTAAGCATTTTATCGACATGTTTATTTTAGGGATCACTAATTACTAATACAAGAAATCCTACTTTAAAAGCTAAATAGCTGTCTTCCCTTGACATGTTGTTTGGCTAGTTAATGCTTCTGTTAATGACAGTCCTTAGGTGTGAAACATGGTTTCAGGGGAATCTGGACATTTCACAGGTGAGTGCTAATCTTCTAAAATATGTAAATATGATCCTAGACTATCCATCACATGGAATTAATGTCTGATACAATACATATTCGAATGTTTGTATGACATTTCCAACCCAGGAGGCATGTGCTGTTGTTTTCTCAATGTTTTATTCACTGTTCAGTAAATTTAGGTTGTCACTAATGATCACATTTTGAATGTTACCTATCAAAACTGGTAGTTCAATCTTCTAAATACATTAAACGTAAACTGAATTTAAAACGAGTCTTGAGTCCTTTTAGCTGATTAGTCTTGGAGACGTTCACTTTTAGACAAAAGTATGATATATGTAATGCCAGAATCCTATACAGCAGACACCATTAACAATATCATTTGGCATTTCTGAATATGCCACGCACTAAACAAACCTTTTTTTTTCTGAGGGGGTGCTAAGAAAACTCCAAATTAAACCATATGTATCCCATCTCTCAGGTTATTATTGTCCCAATAGGAAATTAATAAAGCACACAGGAAGTTTAATTTGTCATTTAGAGAGGTGGAGATCTTCCTACTGCTAAGAAAAGAGTGGAAACAAATGTTTCATGCAATGACTGCGGGACACACCCAAGCCTCCAGTGTTTTACTGATTGCTAATTGTAAAATAACAGTCGTAAAAGCTGCATTTTGGCCCACCAAGGATCTATACGGTGGATGTATTGCATCAAATTTGCCATAGCTGTGCTAAAGGCATGTTTATTCTCTTTGATAGAGGTTAGTTATCTGCACAGCTTGATTTCTGAAATTAGTGGAAAGAGGAAAAGTACCTAATGGGAATTTGTCAGATTAAACACACAGACACATGCACACAAAAGAAAACAAAAATCACTGATTTGCATTCACCACCTCCTAACCACTTTATCCTTCTCTTTAACCAGACCTATCTGCTCCCCTCCGTTTGTTTCCTGTTGTTGAGAATAGAGACAGCTGACAAATTAACCTGCCGAGATTAAGGATGTCAGGTGATGTAATCCCCATAACACTTTAATTTTTCTTCAAGTGGTCCAATTTTATCACATCTGTATACAGAAAATATTGCACTCACCTAATTATGTACCTTCCAGGGTTTTGTCAGATTCATGTCCTGAGTAGTATGAATGTAAGTGCTACTCTTCCAGGGCAATCTGTAGATTATCTCTAATAGCACAATGGCTAATGTGCTTTCCTTATAGCACTTTGAATTCAAAGCAGCCTAGTTAACGGCGACCTAAGTGTGATAATGGCAATTACATCGATATGTGGTCCTTTGACACCACAAAAAGCTTCTTCTATAGACTACAGATGATGCAAGGAAAAAAATAAACAAGTGAAGAATTTACATGAAATTCCCTTAGTTTAAGATTCACAACTATCTACCATTACAGCCAAAGATAAAAATATTTTAAAATCAAATTTGTAACATGGATCCATTATTATGTCCACCCCCAAAACATTCTTACTTGCGTGTACGTATGCACACATATACCTGTTTTTATGAACTATTACTTAAATAGCAAAAGCACGTTAAGGCTGCAATATTAACGGTCCTACTTTGTTTGCTATAATTACAAGAATAAATGCAAATATTCCTACAAGCTCTTGGCTCTTTTACACAACTGTCCACCAAGAAAACAATATTAAGCTCATAACCATCTGCCAACAGCACAAGAAAACAGCAATAAGAAATATCTGCATTCTATTTCCCAAATCTTTGCTAGGCCACATTGGTGTATTGATTTGCAAGTAGAGATGAAAAGTGAAGCAAAAAGATACTTCTTGTAAGCAGATAAACAACAGCTGCATTCATGGAAAATAAATACGTTATCTATCTTGTCACACACATAGCTTGTAATTTTCTTAGAAAAAGTAATATATCTCTTTCAGCCTAATACCAAAAAGATTATTTCAGTCAACTAAAACAAACAATGTTAACTCCCAGATGCAGCTTTTAAGCCTACTGTAATAAGACTGAAAACTGCTGAAAATGAAGAGCAAACGAAAGCTCCACAGATTAAATTGTTATAGTAAAGTGGAAAGTGTTTTAGGTTGATCATCTTGTATCGCCCAAAAGGGGTTCAGTAGGAATATAAATTATTAGTATCCACAATCTTATTTTTTAAATCAATTAATCCCCCACAGAAGAAAACTCAACCCCCGATTTCCATTTTACGACTAGTGGCTTTCAACATAAAGAAAAGTTTTAAGTAATTCCTTGCAGGCAATCACAATTTCATTTATAAACACACGGAGAATTCCCAGGAAGAAAAAAAAAGATTTTAGTCTTCAAAAGTTAAAACTTTCACAAAGTCCACAGTGGCCTACACTTTATATTTATATATATTTTTAAACTAGTGGAGAAAAACACATTACTGAGATTCTCAATCAGTTTAAAAGGAAAGAAAACCAGTGTTTCTTCTTAAAGATCAACAGACTTTCTAGCTATGAAGAACAATGTTGTTACTGAGAGATGATTGCCTGTTTCCACACAGAAACACAAAAAGTGTTGAGACAGACTGCAAGTCCACCTCCCCATTTTCCTCCTTCAGAATCTCATTCGGCCTTTCGGCCCAAGCCAAAGCAAATGGGTTTCAGCCTTAAGTTTTCCCCATTGAGCCTGGGCTCTGAGTACTTTGATATGCTAATTGATGCCTTCAAACAGCAAGAATTCGCACTTGCATTAATTCAAACAATTTGCGCAGAATGATGTGAAATGGCACCTCTTTTTAAGAGAGACAGAACAAAAGGAGTGAATCACAGTGTGGCCCAGGAAATCAAACAACAGAACATTTGTTCTGCTGAATTCCTCTCCTCACTCAGATGCAGCACCTTTTTTTTTTTACTTTTGTTGTGAACCACAAATTTAAAAGAAATCTGAAAGCATATTAACCAAGCTCTACATCAATGCAACTTCCAAAAGTAGAAACAGTAACATACCGTCGTCTTCTTAGACATATTGTGGAACACAGAAATATAATGTTACAAAGTTGTTTTTTTTAATTGTACAAAAAATGTTAAGTATTCTTGATGGAATAAAATAAATCCATATTTTCAACAGTGTAACAAGTTCTCAATTGTCACCTGAGAAATACTTAGGGCTCTTTTATAAACTTCAGAAACACCACTGTCTTCGGATATACGAATGCACAGCTACATTTCTGATTTACATTACAATATTTATATATTTATCTGATAAGAATTTAAGTATAAATACATTCCTACTTTTTGCAGAAACCCTTAATTACTGTTGTTACCTAAATAGCGTGTATATTGTTTTTACAATTTAAAAGCAACGTTAAAATAAATTCTAGAGTAACTGCTGATGGCATTTAAAGAAATACGAAAGACTTGTTCTCCGAAAACTGTGGCTTGAATGTGACTACTACTACCTGCAGAAAACTAATTAGTTGTATTCTGAATCGATGCAACCAATAATTTTCATTTGTTTTTCCCGTCAAGCACGGAAATTTGCAAAGGCCTAAGTGTCATCTTGCGTGCTTGCGCTAGAAATTGAATGGACCATTGCTAAATGTATCCTTTAGATCACTGACTTTACAGATCAATTCAGATTCATCGTTCATCCTCTTTGTGCATTACAAATTCGCCTGTAATCAAACATTCGTGATAACCACCCGGCAAACAAATTAAATAATGCGTTCTTATTTTCTTGCGTTTTTTGATAGTTTACACGTGGTTGACGTGAAATGCTGGGATATTAGTAAATAATATATGTGCAGTTAAAGGATCTAATTGTACCGCTGCGGCGCGTAATAAAGCGTTACCGTGGATTCAAACATGCTATGTGACCTATGCTTCGTTTTACAAGAGCGTAGTTAAAGGTGAAAAGGAAAACAGATTTTTGAGTATCCAAGAGAAAACCAATGCTCATTTAATAATTCTATGGTAATTTTAGTATTGCAGAATACTGCTAATAGTAATCTTTCTGATTTACCAGAACCCGTCTTTATAGGATATGAACCTAGGCCCTGAATATTCAGAGGCTTTAATAAAGCCTTTAAAGCTTATTTGCTCTTTCGAACACGTATAAACAAACACCGAGAGACAGAGATTAAAGACAGATATATCTACCTCCAGCACATGTAATATTTGAAAAACAACAATTATTCCTAAAACCTGTTTATTTTATAACTTTAAAAGCACAAATTCCAATTAAATGGTCCTTTAATTCTGGTACATGTGAAAGCCCTCTTTTCTAATCGTTTCCATTCATTCGAACTCAGAAGGCAGCCTACCAAAATCAATCCACATCTGGTTGTGTTTTGATTAACCATTTTTCAATTAACCATGGCACTCCTTGGATCATTTTAATTACTTCGAACAGACTGGTTCTGTTCTTTCAAAGCATAATTCATGTTGAAATCTGCTTATTGTTTCTTTTATCTAAAATTCTTTTAGTTGAGCAGCTTTCAGACGCTTTGTTTACTATCAGTATTACTTAAATATACATCTTTTGGAGTATGATTAATGGGTTAACGAGCACAGATTCTGTGTATAGGAAAGCAACAGAAATCACACAATGATCTAAACAAGTCATTTAATAGTTTTGCTTCTGAGTTAGTGGACTTTGTCCCAAAAGTTAGAAGCACACAGAAATCCCCCTCACTAATCCGACACACACAAAAGCAACACAAACACAAAGACGTTTACGGGGGGGAAAGTGAAAACTTACTATAGCTCTCATCCTTACCTTTTAGGAAGAGTCACATGGAATACTTTTGAATGGCAAACTCGGGCAGACGATAAACTAAGCAGAAAAGCAGACAAGCTTGTAAAAAGAACTCCTCTGCAGCTCAATGCACAGTAGGAAATATAGAGACTCTGCAGTTCTGATGCATACGCTCCACTTATCTGGGACAGATAGTGTTTTATCAGGCAGCAGGTTCTTCTTCAAGTCCACACATTCCCGCAGACTGGACACACTGCTCCATGTCAATGTACTGGTCAATCTTTAATTGAAGCAAAGTCCAGCTGTTTTTTTAAATATATTATTTCTTCTTCGCAGACCAAAAACCGACAGGGAAGCGCACAACAGCCTTCAACAGAGATAAAAAGCTAGCAAAAAGCAGAGCTCCGATAAGCTGAAATCTGAAGGCAAAAAAAACTCTGCACTGCCTTTTCACTCTGTTGATGTCAATCCACTCTGCATCTCCCAGGATGACAATGCGGCCTTAAGCGTGACTGCTGAGTTTCAAGCTCCTCGCGTATTAGAAGATCCTGCTCACAGCATTCATTGAGCGCTCAGAGAATGGCTTGAGACAGAGAAACAAGCACCCAGTAAACAGTGCCAGTGCAGAGAATTGTATGCAGGCTCCCTTCTGCATGAGCTAGCTTTGAATGGGGCTGCGGCAAAACCTGACGTGGATTCCACACCAGGCACTGACTCGGAGCCTCTCTTCCCAAGCACCAAAGCAACTAATCATATAAACATATTATCATGTGCAGCAAGACTAAATCTCCATTGCTTTTTAGCCCCGGCTGTCGCAAAAGAAGATTACAGACAACTGAGCACAAATGCGAAGCAGATTATCTATAAATATATGCCACTATTGGCCATTTTCCACTCCATTTGAACTGATGCTTGCCCTGCTTTTGGGTTTCGACGGCTCAATCCCTTTCACAGTAGGCAGTCCAGCCTGCTCAACCAATGACTGACGACGTATTCTTACAGTAACACTAGAGAGCTTTAAAAAAGTAGACCCCCTCTTTTCTCCAGCTGGACTCAATAAATACAGAAAAGACACTGCAGCAATGCTGGGAGGAAAACCGAGATGCCACAGAGGAGCTGTGGCTAAGACAGTCACTGACTGATGAATTTGTCATCATTCATTCCAGGCAGAGATTATCATTTTTTTTTTTGCATTTTGAGAAAGTGTAGAAAAGAACAGCAAATCTCACCGTCTGCTAAAAAGTTCTTGGCTAGTTTTCCGTACTATGCAGCAAGTTTACGAAATCAGTACATCTTCTCTAAAATAATGTTAAGTCTTGAAAATAACATGTTCTGCCTTTTTAAAATGTTATGGCCTTAATTCATTTGAAAACATTCTTAGAAGCACCAGCCATTTGCTGTATATTAAAATTATTTTTATCCTCAGTTTTCCTATACTGAATTGATCCCTCAACTTATTTGTTCCGTGGCCTTTCTGATTTGCACATGGAAATTTCACGAAAAGAAACAACCTTAATCACTTTTTACTGTTGTTCCCATCTATTCATGGTAATTTAAAAAAAAAGGTAGAAAAAGTATCTTTGGAGGACTCTGGAAGGTTTATATGTCCCAGAACAGTGCCAGCTCAGAAAGCTGGTATACACCTGGCTCCAATAAAAGGCTACTTGAAACTGCTAAGGGGAAATGTGAATTTAAGTAAAATTAACCAGGTGAAGGTGAAGGGATGAGTGGGGCATACTTCTGTTTTCATAAGCATAATTTTACATAATAATAGATATGTTTTTCTATACAATAAGAGAAAACAGATGTAATAAAGGTCACCCAATGGCAGAAATTCATATTTTGAGAAATAATGTTTATGTATAAGTACTACTGAAAGTAAAAACACATGTGGTTTCTTTAAAACAACCTTTAAGGGGCTAAAGCCTTTGTATAATTCATACATGCTTTAATTCTTTCACATATCAGTCGGAAATCGCTCAGAAGCCATTTTCCCTTTATTAAATGCAAATTTTGAGAGAATGAGACAAGCAAAAATTGAGCATATGGGACTCCTTGATTAGTGCTTTAATTTTGCATTGAAAGCAAGACAAGTACTATAAAATTTTAGTGTATTTTAAGAACATAAAAGGTTATGCGTCTGTGAAAGTGTTGTGACACTTATATAAAATAATAATTACACCAGTCTACTGGAAGGATTTATCTAGTACATCAAAGTTGAGACTTAATTATTTTTATTTTAGTAAATATTTCTTATATTTCAATTCACTATGTTATTTAATGTGTTATTGATCAGTTTAGAATTATTGAATACAGTGAATTCTACACAAAAACTGTGATTTTAAAAAGGCTGAAATAATTTATAGTCAAAGGATTAATATTCTGTTTACACGTCCAAAAAATCATGTTTATACAGTATCCATACTCCAATTAAAGGCTACTTGAAACTGTTAGAATCTTAATTTCAGTCATTTTCTTTTAAAATTCTGTTTTAAGACTCTTACAGTATCTGCATACCTGTAACTGTGCAACATAAAAAGCATGTTAATGTCTTAGCTGCTGATTTCAATGTCCTCAGATAGTGCTTTGCAAATTGGTAGTATTTTTAATAAATACAGATTTCGCCATATATACAGTAAAATGTAGGCCTTTACAGAAAAATCCGCCAAACATTCTTATAGTAATTGCAAATTAAATTGAAATGTTCCCTCTGTACTTTGAAAATGCATGTTACATTTGCTTTACGTTAAATAGTTTCTAAGCAGTCATGACAATTCCACCTCAAGTACACAGAAGGAACACATTACCTCAGTGGCTAGTAAAGATCGATGGCCTTCAAACACTTTAACCAGGCTTATTTTTCAACTGTCGAAACCCATGTTTTCAATTTACAATTCTTCTCAGAAAATAACTTGCATTTCATTCAACAGAATCATTAATTATATTCCCTGCTCTCTTTCTCTGTTTTCAACTTCTTCATTCCTAATTTTAAGTCTTTTTAAGTCGCAGTGCAGGCAAACCCCTCATTGGAATGCAGACCATTTTTACACACCTTAATTGAAGGAAAGACTTCTGTCAGACAACAAAGGAAAGTGTTGAGGTAAATATAAATTCCTCTTGCCACAGTTTGTTTGTCTAATTATTATATCATGAGACCTCAGATTGTATTAATTAGAAAATGGGCCAGAAATCTGAATAATAATCACATTTGTCTATAGGGGGATTTCATGGGTGCATAGTTTGAGTTCAAGAAAATATTCAAAATCATTAGTTCAACTAGATCACCCTAACTCAAAGATTTTGTCAAGCCTGGACCTGAGAGAATGTTAATACTTAAACCTTTAATCTTCATCTGAAACCATTTAAAATTCCAAGCAAGTGTTGTATTTCCAGAACATATTATTTATTGGTCCTTCCTTAAGGATTTAAGCATTTGTTTCAATGAGCATAAAAAGATGTGAATCTTTGTTTTATTTTTAGCTAACACATTGGCTCTTCCACTGTGAAAGCGAGCTAAACCACAGAATAAAGAAAAAAATGTAGTAAAATTTTGCTAAATTGTCCTAATGCGCACTCTTTATGATTCTGGGTATCTTCTTCAATGATTATTTTGATTTCTGGAATTCTTGGCCCATTATGGGACAGAGTATCTATTGTCAGCAGATTAATTTTTCTGCTACCAGTAGAATTAAAAAATAAAGAAAATTATATTATCCAGCTGTTATAAGCACACTTGTTCTTGACAGAAATTAATAATGATACTTTTCATTAATTTATTACTTAGGGTATAATTAATATGCAATGGCCTGGATAAAGAAATGGAAATGACCACCTTTAAAATAACTCACATGCTTCTCATGAGAAAAAAAAATTTCAACCTATTTTTCTTCATTGGGTCTACATGTGTAGCTTTTAAAACTGGATTTTAAGCAACCTTTTAAACTTTAAAATAATAACATAATTCTAATGAATGTGCCATTGCCTGGGTGACTACATCAAATAATAAAAACATAATGTAATGTATGAATTATATAACTGCTACTGATAGTGAAACCTAGCTGAAAATAGGTCATTTCAAAAAAGATAATTATTTAATTATAATTATAGGCCAATACATTAGCATGCTAATTTGTTAGACTACTTCATTACTGTTTTCATCTGCTGTGCACAAAAAAATCAAAGTAGTGCGAATGAAAATTTGTTAAAGAAAATATCACAGGTTTTAACTTAATCTGTTTTTATTGTTGACAATCATGAAGCACTTATGCAATTAATTGAAAGATAAACAAGACAATCTAGCCATGGTTATAAATAACATAATATCTGGGACATTTTAAACATTTGGGATTGATCACCTTCACAAATCAAATTCATGAATCATTATAAGTCCTAGTTTAGTCTTGCACATGAAAAAAGATGATTATGAACCTTTAGAAGACATTTCTAAATTAAGATAGAAACAACCATTATAACAAATTGGCCATTTTTAAAAACAATGCTTTATGTAAGGTCTATAAAGACTGTTGTAGCTGGCAAAGTTCCCCTGGAAACATTCAATCTGGCTACTACTTCTATTAGTGTAGTAGCTTTGTTCATATTTACATAGCCATAGGCAACACAGCAATTTGGAGCTTTGACCTCTACTTTAAGTTTCAATTCTTTAAATAGCTGCCTTCTCAACACAGCAACAGATTGACATATACTACACATTCTGAGTGGTAATTACACTTGTATCTCCATTTTATTTAATGCACTAGTCTAATCTCTAATTTTGTCTCCCATTTCAGTGGCAATTTAGTTTAACCAGTCTCTCTCTTATGCATCAAATATTTGTTAATCCTGCTGTAGGTGGATCAGCAGAGCACTAACCTCCTGCCATATAAATGCAATTGGTTTCACTACACATGAAAAGGTTAGGCAAACAAGTGATTAAATTCGAGGAAATATATTTTTTAGATACCTGCCATTAAGAAAGGTTGTAAAGATTCTATCATTTGTAGAGTACTGCTTCTAGAATCCTCGTCTCTCTCGTTCGACATTTTACTTAAAAGCATTAAGTCTGATTCACTCTATGGGTAACTGTCTGTGAAATATTAGGCTCCAGATATTGACCTTTAAGTGTTGCACCTGGTAAATCAAAGAAAGGTAAAAACTGTTATCAGTAAACTAGCTTTTTCAAGCTTTTGAGTTTGATTAAACATCATTATAAAAATCTTGCTAAATCTATTTGTAAAGTTTTCATACTTTTTTATGGCCCCCTAAATTTAACTGTAACAAGTTAAAACTACATTTTAGATTGTACACAAATCAGCATTAATCTCTGAAGAATAAACATGCCATTCAATATATTGCTTTTGCTGCTGAGTATAAATTTTGCATCCGGATTAACCATTAAAAGATCTAATTTTCCTGTAATTGTAAGTCTCCTAAAAAATCAGGATAGGTGTAAAACATGAACATTAAATACAGAATATACCATTAATAAAATACTGATTTAGTTTTCCAGTATGGATTAGTTTTCTCATTTTCAAAAATATTCTTCCAGAATTTTGTTTTGTCTGTGAACAAGCTTTTTTTTATACTGCAGATATACATCATGTACATGTACTGTATGTGCACAGAGCAACAAAGAATATACGTCAAAGTCATTTTATGTAAAGCTTGCCACCTAAGCACAATTCATTCACTTTTTGCATTGACACAGAAACTCAAAAATCAAATTGTTTGCATATATATACAGTAGTTGATGTGAAATTCACATTGATAAAAGACAATCTGAGAACTGTTTATTCAAGACATTTTACTATTGCCTGATAAATGTATTTTCAACAGTGTGTGCAGGAATTAGTCATTCTGTATTATTCTATCACAAGTATAATTATAATTGCTAACCGCAGGAAGTTATATTTGGCCTTTTAAACATTGC